TGCTGCAAAGGGTTGGCCTCAGCAACACCATGTTGTATGTTCAGCAAGAAAGGATGGATGGTTTGACTACTTCTTACATGACATCTTCAGACATTTCAGGTATGTAAATAAGTTGTTCTGCTGCTGAGCAGCTCATTCACATACCTCACACTCTTCTCAACGGTTCCAAGGGTCTAAATCCTGCTATCTTACATCAGTAAAATTTCCAGTGGCCTCAGTAGGAAATATCTGAGCTACAACATCATGAACCGAGTCCACTACCTCCATTTAAAGGATTGAGAACTATCCCTGGCAGAATATGGTACTTCAGCAAATGTACAAGTGTGTCTGAAGCCAAGTATAGGATCCATGCTCACTGGTTTTCATACACCCTCCAAAATGACGTTTCTGCTCTTTCCTGCTTTTCCTTTTCTAGAGTGAAAAGAACCCATTGCAGCTGTGTGGCACAGACAGTGTTTCCCTAGGTGGCAAATTAAGACAAATTTTGATTTAATCCATGATCCAACAAGTTAAATTCAGTCCTCTTTGCATGGCAGATATGGCAATGCATTCAACACTTACCAAGTGCTGCTGTCAGTACATGTAAGTAATGGATGCTACTATTTGTATTCATTAGATTATTAGAAATGTCTGTGCTGCTTCCTGTAAGCATGAAACAGTCAAATTCCAAAATACATTAGGGGGCACAAATACAGATTTACACTAATAGAAGTCAATAACTTAAAGACAATCTAACACTTCAAAGTTGTATCTGCAAAAAATGACATACAGGCTTTAAAGGAACCTTTTTTTGGAGCAGGAGAGTAGGTAGCAAAAGGTAACTTGTTACATAGGCCAGCATGAAAAATGTCCTGAAAACCTAGCCAACCTAAATTTTCTCTATCACACCATGTTGTTGCTTCTGTACTTCATAGAATCCTAGAACTGTTTGGATTTGAAAGGACCTTAAGATCATCCAGTTCCAATCCCCCTGCCATGGGCAGAGACACCTCACACTAAACCATCTCACCCAAGGCTCTGTCCAACCTGGCCTTGAACACTGCCAGGGATGGAGCATTCACAACCTCCCTGGGAAACCCATTCCAGTGCCTCACCACCCTCACAGAAAAGAATTTCCTCCTTATATCCAATCTGAACTTCCCCTGTTTAAGTTTTAACCCATCACCCCTTGTCCTATCACTACAGTCCCTAATGAAGAGTCCCTCCCCAGCATCCCTATAGGCCCCCTTCAGACACTGGAAGGCTGCTCTGAGGTCTCCACGCAGCTTCTCTTCTCCAGGCTGAACAGCCCCAACTTTCTGATCCTGTCTCCATACAGGAGGTGCTCCAGCACCTGAGCATCCTCGTGGCCTCCTCTGGACTTGTTCCAACAGTTCAGTCACCAGCAAGGTGTGTGGACTGTAAGTCCTACATTTTAGAGTCCCACTGACGTGTACGCACAGGAACTGCAGTGGGAGAGGAAAAACGTTGTCTTCTCTCATAACTACCTAACTAAAAAGACAGGCAACATACTGCTAAATGTATTCTGAAACTACCAACGTGGCTGTTTCTAAAACAGGCAAGAAAAGAAGCAGTTTGGTTCAGAGACAAAATTAATGTGGCCTTCCAAAAAAGAACTGACACTTTACTGATGTAACATCAAATACAATATAGCATTAAGAATTTAAGGGGCAGTATAGGAAAGCCACTCTCTAGGCCAGCAGTACCAGAGGCCTGCAACCTAATATGACATTTTGTCAGATCTCAAGCTCTCCAGGCTCTCCATGGCCAACATTAGGGCAGTAAAAGGGTTCTTTAAATAAAGAACTCATGTTCAGCCATAGGAAGAGAGCTGCACTGCCACGGTACAGTGCCCCCAGAAGCAAAACTGAGGTCCTGAATAAAGATCCAGCTTATCCCCCTCAGTAGAAAGAGTTTCCTGGCACGCTGCTCCTCACCAGCACCATGCTAGCTATGAGTGCTTCTACATCTCTGTCATGCCTCTTCATCCTCCCTTCAGCTTCCTCACTGGGTAGGGAAATAAAGGTATTTCACCAGCAGAAGTGGCCTTTAAAAGTAATGGCTGCTGAAGCTACATGGTGTCTAATAAAACAGGCTTTCCCCTGGGAAGGGCTCTGGGGTTTTGTTTACCAGATCCAGAATGGGCAGGAGAACACATCAATCTTGCTATTTAACCTCAGGTATCTTGCCTGGATGCTCCATACTACTGCTTGCAAAGCCACAATTCAGCCCAAATTAAAAGTATACGTTTATTACACAGGCTTTAAAAACATGCTCCAAGGAGCCAGCCCAGCGCCCAGCATGAGCCAGCTCATCAAGAGCTCAGGTAAGGAGATGGCGAAGCTCATTTACACAGATCAACATGTCCCCACACCTCAGCGCTCCGGGTATCACAGCCCTGCTTCACACAACAGGGCAACCGTACCACAGACACTGCTCCACAGCCAGGTTACTACAGACCTACTGCAGTCTGTGGCAGGTAAACTAACATGTACCGCACCGCTTCCCTCCTTCCCACCTCCGCCTCATGGCGCTCCTCAACAGCCGCCAGCCCTCGAAGGCCCACAGCACCCAGAGCGATGGCCGCGCTCCCCTCACGTCCTGCCCCGCACCGCGGCTCCGGTGTCCCCGGCGACGGCTCCCCTCACGCACCCAACATGGCGGCGCGCCCCGCACCTGCCCCGCCTCAGGGCGCCCCGGCGGGCAGCAGCGCAGGGCCCTGCCGAGCCCGCCCCTCCCCGGCCCGGCCCGGCGGAGCGCTGGGGCCGCATCGGGGTCGGTAGGGGGCGTGCGGGGGCTCCGGCAGGAGCCGGGGCCGGTTCTATTTAGCTGAAGGCCCGCGGGGTGGGGGGGAGAAGAGACGAGACCGAGCGGGCGGGCGGCGGCACCGCAGCGGAGCCAGCGGACGGACTGTAACGCGCCGCCGGGAGCAGCGACCGCCGCCGTCCGCGCCGGCCCCGCCGCAGGTAAGGAGCGGGCAGCGCGGGGTGGCTGCTGTGCCGCGGTGCCCCGGTTCCTGGGGCGGGTTTGCGGGGCAGCGCAGGTGCCCGGCGAGGTTCTCGCCCTGCGGGGTTCCCCTGGTCCCCCCTTCACTGCACAGGGTGAGCTTGCACTCCAGAATGGCTTGGGCACCCGAAAGGTGCGCTGACACCGGACAAACAGCGGAACGGAGCTGAGCCGCCGCAGCCAGGTAGGGGCCGGGGCAGGACCCGGTCCCGGTCCCGGCGGTGAGACCGGTACAAACACCCCCCGTTCACTCGCTTGTCTTTCTTTGCAGGGTTCACGATGTTGACAGCTATGTTCTTGGCTGCTCTCATCCTTATTACAGTGCATTCGCAGGAAACGGAGGAAACCATAACGTACACGGTAAGGTTGAACAGAGCTCGAGGTAACTGCTGCTTTGCAGGGATTCTTTGCTAAATGACCCTTCAGCAAAACCAAATTCCTTGCCAATGTATAGCATGCAACATAAAGTTCTTCGGGCTGGGATGTTAACCAGAAAACAAGCTGTTCCTGCACCGAAACGGTGTTTTAAAGCTGAAGTTGACAAGATAGAGCAAAAGAGGCTACAACTGCCTGCTCCGAAAGCTTGTCTGTGCACCGAGCTTGGGGAACTGAACCTTATGAGGCTTTAATATTTGTTTAATCCACTTTCCTCAAGACAAGGTCCCTACGGACCCGAATTTGAAATGGATGGAATTTGACAGATAATTAGGTCAAACATTCTTTGGTGTTTTCTTTCGGATATTTGAAGCTGCTTTTAACAAAATGTAAGTGCTTCAGAACTCGCTGCTCTCAATGAAGCATCCGAGCCCTTGCAGTGACCACAGGACTTAGTTTCTGAGCTGGTTTTGAGCAGTGCTTTTGCATGGCTTGATAGATTTGCACAGGGACACTGGAAAGAGGTTTTTCTTGCAACCAAGTGATAGAGGTTTAAAGGGCTTTTTGTAAAGCTTCTTTTGAACTAATTTCCCTGTGTTCTGCCTTTGGCTTGCATAATGCATGTCGTAGAAGGAGTGGCAATTACATGGGCTTGGGCTGGGGAAAAACCCACACTTTCACATCTGATTTACAGTCGTAATCCTTGCAACTTGCTTCATATGGGTGGACCTCTGAATATGTGTACAGGCATTAGCGCAATGCCACACAAGCAGAAAATTCTGCACACATGCAGAAAGTTAGAGAACCACAGCCAAAGGCTCAGATTGTGCCTTATACAAGTAATCCCACTGAAGTCAGTGGGATGGCTCAAGCAAGTCAATATTGCAGAGTTGGACCTTAGTGTAGAAGATGGGGCTTAAAGAAGCCTCAAGTGAGCATCCAGAAGCCAGTCATAAAACACTTTAACACTGGGCTTTAGAAGCAATAAGAGTTTTGGAGGTTGGGAGTACTTTTCTTTAGAGGCTTCTGTGGTTATTTTGTAAGTCCCTATATATAAGTGGAAACTGCAGATTTACTTACCTTTTCCAAATCCAGCCTAACACAGGGATCACATCCCCCTGCTTTGCCTCATTTATTACATGGTCTATTCACAAAACTAAGTAGCACTTTCTGTTAATACCAATGGGAAACATCTGGCATGCTTATGATTTGGGTTCCTCTACTCCATTATCAGAGAGGTCTTAGCATTTAGGTGCTTCAATGATCATCAGACTCCAACCATATATAATACTACTTAAAAAAAAACCTTAGCCTTTGGACATTTTACTCTTAGGATGCTACTGTTTCTCACATGTGCATTGTATTCATTTAGAGCCAAATCCTTTTTTATCCCTTTCTATCCCTTCAGCTGCAATAATAGATGGATTTGGCTCCTTGCAGTTAAATAGACAGTACTTCTGTTGTGCATTAGCAGGAATTGGGCAATTCAGTAAGTGCATGAATTAGCTGTTTTCCTTTGGGCTTCCATTCTCATAGCTACACTAACTTTAGTGTTGTCACCTTGGCATGCAGTCATCCCATTAGATGGAGAATTGTGATACAATTTGCTGTGCACTTACCCCTTTGGAAGTAAAAGCCTCCAAAGCTGCAGATCACTGGTGTCACCTGCAAAAGAAGAACATATTTTTACTCTATTGCTTAGTCAGTGTTCTTTAGTAACAAGTTCCTCAAAATAACTTGAGGCTAGTGCATGGAACAAGTGGATCTTGGCACTGGAAGGGCAAATTTGTCCCTTGTATAGCTCCTCTGCAACAAGATTTAGCTCGCTTGACTGTGACTAATTACATTAGCTGACTGCATTCTTTTTTCTATAGGACCATTAAAGCAATATCCTGAGCAGCACAAGATGAGTATGAACCTACATAGTATGGCTCAGTTGATTCATTGATACTTTAAACGTGTCTGCTGTAGTTGGTATCATGTTGATACTTAGCTAATCAGTTTCTAAATGTCACTTGGGATTAAAATTAGCTGGAAAATGTAACGGGTTTGAGCAGAGGGATAATGAAGATGCCCACCCAACTGCAGGGCAGAATAGTTAAAATTCTTCTTCAGTGCACTAGTCTGCATTGATATGAATAGTTACTGAGTATAGTCTTGTTTGAATTTTGCAAAGTCTTATTTATACAAGTAGTCCTGTTATAAACTCTAAGTCCTGTTATAAACTAACCGTTTACTGTATGCCTCCCAATATAAATTGTTCTTCCTCGACTGCAGCTCCTGGAGTCATGTGATTGCAAAGCATGTGAATGAATTTCCAGCTGCCATGGGATCCTTCCCCATTGCTGGAGTGCTAATGGGAGAGGATGGAGCACAGGGGTCTGGTAGTCCCTCTGGTGAACTGGGAATTAAAGCTGTGCCCCCACTGGAAGGCAGGGGGGTTGGAACTAGATGATCTTAAGGTCTTTTCCAACCCTATTCTAAGATCCAAATACAGAAAAAATTATGCTTTTATGGATAAGGTTTTCATAGTGGTCAGCTGGATCTAAAGGTTCATCTATTCCAGGATTCAGCTAATTATGCTTTAAAGTAGCATACAGAAACAAGGCAAGGGGGCAGTGATGCTTTCCCACTTTGTTCCCAGCCCCAATAAAACCTACCTACTCACCACAAATGATATCTCAGGAACTTCCCAAAATAGAAGCTCTCTCTGTATATATTTGTTGTTCCTGCCCAGCAGTGCTGTACCAACAGCTGTTTTTCTAGCTTACCAAGGTATGCAAACACTGCATTTCCCTTAGTGTCCAACCTGGAGTTTATTGAAGTATGCTTGATTATTTTTCCAAAATAAGGAATCCCAAGTAGCCTAATATTTATTTTTTCTCTCTCTAGCAATGCACAGATGGCTATGAATGGGATCCTGTTAGGCAACGGTGCAAAGGTACAGTAAATAATACTTAAAGAATACCAATGGCAAGTCTGTCTTTGCAAATTATCACTGCACCCCCTTGTTTCGGACAAGGAGGTGTGCTTGCATGTCTCATTGTGTTCTTTGTGTTAATGGCTCTTGCAGAAGGTTCGCCTGTTAAAAGCATGACTTGTGTTGTTGCTAACCACAGATATTGATGAATGTGAAATAGTCCCAGATGCATGTAAAGGTGGGATGAAATGTGTTAACCACTATGGAGGATACCTCTGTCTACCCAGAACAGCGCAAATTATTGTAAATGAGAGAGAAGAAGCAGCAGCAGAATCCACTAGTGGTCGAAACAACGTCATTCGACGGACCCCAGCCGACCCTCACCGTGCCCCTCCAAACCCAACTCATCAAATCCAGTGTGCAGCTGGGTATGAGCAAAGTGATCACAACGTGTGCCAAGGTAAGCAAGCTGCCCTATGTTTTCCTTCTAGGATGACTGGAGTGTATGCAATACCAAACGGAATACCTGGAAAATGATAGCCTAGAACTCTTGTGTTTACTAGAATGTATTGTGGCACCATCAAACTGGACGTGTAGATGCTTAAGATGCATAAATAAAATACATGCATGTTGTTAGATTTCAAGGTACTAGAACTTGCAGGTTGTTTCATTATTTCACAGTATTGAGTAGAATTAGTTCTGTTCTCTGAAGAGCCTCAAAAGAAAAACCCCTTAAAGCAAGTAAGCAACTCCAGTCAAACACTTTGGGTTGAATTAAGTATGTCTTGGAGAGGCACTGCTTTGGCTAAAGCAGGCAACACAGCAAGTCATGTTCTAGACAATTTGTAAGGACTTGCAAAACTATGTATTTTTAGTAAATGAATGCTGAATGGAACAAAAATGACCACTATGTGAGCATTTGCTTAGAGCAGATTATAACACAGAAGAATAGAGTGTTTTTACTATGTATGAGGAATATTGCTTAAGTAGTAGGAACCAAACATCTGAACAGCTTGTGCTCTTCTGATCTCTATAGAAGTAGCTCTGTGCAGACCCTGCCAGCTTCCCTCCAGTCATAATCGAGCCAGCCTTCGAAACTATGGCAATGAAGAGCTTTCATCTGCGTGTACATACACGGCACACGGTGCCAAAATGCTCAGGGTATTAGCAATGTTAATTGTATGCATTCGGGACCCAGCCTCACAAGCACTACTGTAAACTAAGACTGTTTCATTTATTATTTTATATAAATAGTTTACTCTTCTACTTGCTGAAGTAACAAATGCTTCGTCCGCTGTTTTGTTTCCTTTCACAAAAGATAGATTCTACCCCTTGTTCACAAGCTGGGGTTTCCAGGCACGTTAGTGGGATACCCGTGCAAACAGAGGGCAAAACGTGACCCCATGGTTCAGCTTTTCCACTTTGTGGCCTGTAGCAGTATAATCATAGAAAGTAGTACTTGAGTGACTATAATCAGGGCAAGCTATAATATACAGTGGTAGTTCCTTTCTCCCTGGTATTCGTGTATACAGAACGTTATTTATCACTAGTAAGTAAATTCCCTGTCATTCTGAAGCACAGTAATCATCATGGAGGCTGGTGAAGTTATTTTTGTAGGCAAAGCCTCAGAGTTGCATTTCTGGCTTATCTGCTAATGTTCAACATTTCCGTCACTCCAATTCAAGAATGTCAAGCCAAGAACCTACCGCAGGAGGTCAGTGCCGTGATCCCCTTAACCCTGAGCATTCACTTTGGGTTATCAAGGGAAAAAGCAATGCCAAGGATGGCAAATAGGGTTTATTTCCTTACTTTAAAATAGTGAATAGCAGCAGGACCAGGAACCTGTGTTTGATCTGAAACCTGGGTTTGATCTGGCACTCCCTCCTTCAGGTGATGCTGCATTATGATGGCTGGCACTCATCTTCACTGGTGAATTGCAATACATGCTTCAACTTTAGTATGTAACAGCAGCTTTGACTAAAAAGTGCCAGTAATGCTAGCAAACATGAACATCACTTTTGCTTCAATGGCTTTAGGTACATAAATTGGGGCTAGCATAAGAAAGGTTAACAACATGTACTACCAATACCTTACATTCCAAATAAAGGTCAAGAGTTAGGGTTAACTCAGCTACCAACAACTGGTTAAGGTTTCTGCTGTTGGGAAGATTGGTGGTGATACATTACTATTACTTTACTCTATGCTCTGGCTTCCTGAACTTGCAGCTAAATATTTATATCAAATTCACAAATCTTTGGTTAATTCATAACAACAACGTGCTGTTGTTATAGTACCAGAACTTTTAAATCCTCAGACACACAAACTATGGTGAAATCTTGGGCTCGACTGAATCAGAGTTTTGCTACTAATTTCCTCATGCCAAAATTTCAATCTAAATGCAGAAAGCCTGGGAATATTAGTGCTTAAAAGCTGAAATGCATTGTACTGAATGAATTCCAGCTGGAAAAAGGGTAGTGGACAGTGTGCTTGAAAGGAAGGATAAAAGACTTTTGGAGCACTTAAAGCGTGCATTCAACTTCATGATCTTCATGCTTTGCACTGCTGAAAATATCTTATAAAAGATAATCTTGATCAGCAATGGTCCCACTGTGGATTTATTTAATTATAGTTAAAAGACTGCGCTATGATAACTGCTTGGGGCTCCTAGGGAGTGTAACTTACACATATAGTCACACTTGAGCTTGTTTTATTGTTTAGTAAATCAAATATGAAGTCCAGCTCCTTCTAATTGTTTGCAGATGTATGACATTTTCCTTCCAGTCCAGCAGCACTAAGTATTTTATAACCAATGTGAAAGTGTGGAGACCTCTGGTTAAAACAATAACATGCTCTGAGGAGTTGTATTACTGACATCATAGGAGAGCATGAGGGGCCTTCTGTTTAATGCAGATGTCCACTCCCTTTTTAAGCATTGGATAGGGAGGGTATGGAAGGCCAAACACATGCATGTTGGTTTGGAATAAACATGCATAAATGACACTACTCCTGTTGGGCTTTAGGAGGCTTCAGTGATGTGCTGAGCTCCACTGTTGGGAAAAGCATGGTGCAGTGTGGCCGGATCCTATTTCTATTGACAGGAATGAGAAACATTCAGTGAGGCACACGATTCTCTGCACTTCTTAATCTACCAAAACATGGCCATATGCCGGAGTTACAAAGGATACTTAATACCTTCTTAACTTCTGACCTGAAGAAAACAAGTGACAACTCTGATACTTATCAGTGTTGAGAGTTTTCTGCCTGCAGTACATGCTGTTATTTATTGGAGACCACACAGCACATGAAAGCCCCATTAAGGTTGGATAGGGCTTGGAGCAACCTTCCAACCTAAACCATTCTGCAACTCCATGAATAGCACAGATGCAGACTGATCACAGAGCACAGTGCCTTGCATAAGACAATTCCATGGAAATTACTTCAGCTTCCTATGATATAAATCAGTTTTATAACTAGCAGTGATCAGAAACACATTCTTGTGTAACTGTGTTGATGTCAGAAGTGTGGGTAGCCAAAATTTCCTGGGAAATTCTTAGGAATACCGCATGTGAGCAGTAAGTGCCAGGAACCCCCCAAACTGATGAAAAGGTGAGGGGAGGTTATTCTGGAGTAAGATCTCTTATGCAGGAAATGTGCAGTCCTGAGTTTGAAAACACAGCTTCAAGTTAAAACACTTTAACTGTACCTTAAATTCCGAGTTTATGACCTTAACTAATCCCCCCTCTCCCCATGGTCAGTTCCCACTTCACTGCCGCTTCTCTATTTGCCTTTACCTCGAAAGGGCTGCTGAACAGGTCCTTAAGTTAGACTCCCACATGTGGCGACTTCCACCACCCTAGGGAAGCAACTCAGAAGTTCTGACCTGTCATTGTAGGAGCATCATTCCCACTGGGAAGAGCAAAAAACAGACTAAGAAATGGTTTTAAGCAAATTACTGAGTTAGCTAATAGTTGCAGCTACTTTTTGCCTGATAAAGAACCAAACAGCTGCACTCTGTTGCCTGCATACAAGGTCGAACTGGAGTTCTAGTGTGTTGTTAGGCTCTCTGTGATTGGAGTCTGCTCCTATTGAAGTCAAATGAAAATCACCCAATTAGTTCAATTTTGTCAAATCCAGTCTGCAGGAAACCACTCCTAGAATGTTAAGGACACTTGAACGAAAGTAAAACCAAGCCAAGGTACCAAATAACCTGTAAACTTGAGGAGGGAAAAGAACTTTCTTTTCTTGCCTTCCTATCATGCTGGCAATGCAAGCAAATCAGCAAGCAAACATTCCTGCTCCTCAGCTGGATCAGCTACCTGCATTTCTCTGGTCTCTTTATAACCCCTTTGCGCTACTGTGGCTGTACAATACAGGTGGGAGACAGATGGTAATACAGCATATCAATGATTTCTTATAGAGAGAGAGAGAAATGCTTTTTTCCAGATAACTCTGCCTAGACTTGGTGGGTGTTGGCTGCTTTTTTCCTTCTCTGTTGGGGGAGGGAAAGAATGAATGTCTTTTCAGTGCTGTAGTTATTTGTCCCCTCAAAATCATTGTAGGGGTCTCTTCATTGGTAGGGTCTTTTTTAATCTTTCCAGTACTTTCCAAGCAACTTATCTAGGCTTTTACCTTAAGAAGTTAACTTACTGTAAACGAGTCAACTCTGTGTAAGTAAGTTAACATAGTTAACTTAGTGAAAATAAGTCAAATAAGCCTAAAATCTTTTTTAAGGAGGGAGGGGCAAGGCTCAGCAATTCCTGTTTTGTTTTCCATACAGAAAACCCTTTCTATTATATATATGTATATATGTTAGGGACATGCAGCTAGCACATAAAGGACATAAAAACTGGGTAAGTACAGGTGTACTCAGCCTAGCTCTCTGCAGAGCTGCCTCAGGTTTGGGTTGGAGAACCCAGTATGCCTGAAGCAGGGTGCTCACCACTGATGTCTTGGCTGGGTGCAGACTGTGCTTCTGAAGTGCATGGCCTAAAGAGCTCCACTCGATGCGCTTTGATGTGCCTCACTGAGAGCTCTTGGCACAAGCAAACCAGATCCCCTCCAGAGGAAACTAAACCAACTGCACTGCAGGAGGGATGCTAATACACACAAGCACTAACAAGCCTTCAGGCTCTGGGACCAGACTAGAGAGACTCTCAGAAGTGTAGGTGCTGGGACAGTGGAGCCCCCACACCAGCTTCTGTTGTGCTCTTGTGAACCCACACTGTCTGCTAATGTAGAGATAACCTAAAATCATGGAATGGTTAGCATTGGAAAGGATCCTAAGGTCATCCAGCTCCAACTCCCTTCCCATAGGCACCTCACCATAGACCATGTCACCCAAGGCTCTGTCCAACCTGGCCTTGAACACTGCCAGGGATGGAGCATTCACCACTCCCTGGGCAACCCATGCCAGTGCCTCACGACCCTTACAGTAAAGAACTTCTACTTTATATCTAACCTGAACTTCCCCTGTTTCAGTTTGAACCCATCATCCCTTGTCCTATCACTACAGTCCCTGATGAAGAGTCCCTCCCTGGTATCCAAAATACACCTGTTTCTTACAGGAAACATTTTGGAGAGCCTTTCATATTTCATATTGCACCAAGTTTTCCCCCTTCTTGTATTTAAGGAGTACTTTAAAAAACGCTTTTAGGGCTACTTTTAAAAGAACCTGAGTTGTGACAAGTTTAGTTCCAGAGGTGTTATTCTCAACAACACGAGACCTGCTGAGTTTGAGGATAGGGTGGGGAGAGAGGCTTTGGTAGGAAAAATAAGTTCTAGTTACCTGATTCAGGATTCCGTTATTCATCAAAGTGGGCACAGTTCATAAGCATATATGTTTGGGCACAGCTCATAAGTATATATGTTTCCTGCAGTACTTCAGGTGCTGAATACCTGTGGCCAGCAGTAGCCACCTTAAGAGACTGACCATGCCCTTTGAATAGTAATTACTGGGAAAAGCCATAGGAATTTTGCAGGTCTAACAGTATCCACCATAGAAGGCTACAAACTTGGTACTGAGTGTTCATAGATGCCAATTAATTCCTCATACATTTGGGTGCATCCTGCAGAGATCATCTTTCATCAGCCCATCCTGAATCAACTGTTCAAACTGTTAATGTGTGAAACTGCTGCCTTTTGCTGCAAAGAGTCCTTTCTGCAGCATCTCTTTAATAGTCTTGAGGGACCTGAAGGGAGGTCACAAAACCTCATCTTGTTTTAAGGGCCTTAGGGCCTGTTTTGGGGCACTTTAAAACCTTTGGCCACTCTGAATCATCTCCCCATCTGTGCTATTTGCACAGCTGTGAGTGTCATGTCAAGACCTTGGATAGATCTTCTCTGTTCTTGTCTGACCATTTTACTGTGAATATCCATCACGAGCATAAATACTAGCAGCTGCTTTACTTCCTTGAGTTCCTTACTGCTTTTCCATTATCCTGACCCCTGCAGGAATATGCTCAGGACGTTGCAGCTCAAGATTCATACCATATGCTAACCACACTGAGATTGAGGCAAGCTCCTGAAAGTTGTATTTACCTCAGCTTCCTGAACTGTGATTATCCAGGCAAGCCTAATCTAGACTTGAAGTAAACTCATTAGCAGCTCTCATAGCTTCTTCTTCAAGACAAATGGGATTGTGCAGTAGTCCCATTGACTGTCACACTTTGGGGTTTGATTTGTTGATTGTGAAAAGCCTGTTTGCTTAGTAGCTCTGATGAGGCTAATGTTTTGACAGGCAGAACATAGCAAATGTATTCAGTAAGCCTGAAGAAAGTCCAAACCTTCAGCCATCTGTCCTCCTTCAGAATCTCACTCCCTAAGCCAGAGGTCTTTTTCATGATGCAGTCAGGAATAACACCAGATAGCAAAGGAGAAGAATGTGCTTATGTCTTGATCCTGACTGGACATCCCCGTATACTTGGCACCCCATTAAAAGGCACACAGTATTTATATATCTATTCATGGAATTCCCTGTCTCTGTTGCAAACACTGACACAAGCATCCCAGAAGTCAGCAAACCCTACAGGGAGCTGTCATCTGTTGCATTCTGTAGCATCAAAGAGCTTAGAACTTGACTTGTGGGAGCATGAGCTGGCTTCAGTTCCCTGTTTCAATACCTGCTGTCAATGAATTGTGGTTAACAGCACTGCACTGATACCAAGCTCTCCCTAGCAATAACAGCAGAGTGAAAGCACCCTGGCAGTCTCTCTTAGCACCTTCCTTGGATAATTTTATAGTGGTACAATTGCCATTTTGTGGAGAGATTCTTTCTCCCATACTTCCATGAAAGAATTGCAGCGATGTTCTCAATGTGTTTGTTTTGAGCTGGTCTGCAGTTATTTCATCCTGGGCTACTACTGCATTACAGTTCTTGAGCCTGCTGAAGGAGGTTGGGTGTTCCTCCTTTCTCTGACTGTTTGCCCAGGGTAATTTCCTCTCATCCAACACTTTTTGCTCTGTTTTCAAACCTGATTCAGATTATTTAATACAAAATGAACATGCTCTTACCTGTGTTTTACTCTCATTTTTGAAGTTTGGGTTACTGAGTTACCTTTTCTAACCCTAAAACATTTCTGAAGGATCTCAGCATTACAGACACAGTTTTTCAAGCTCCAAGACACTTCTTGAGCATTTTTACTGATAGGGCACTAATGTAGGAAACCAGAAAACTGGTTCAAGAGCTGAAGTTCAAAACTGTTATTTTCCTCATTTTATTCTCTTTCCAAGTGATTTTCTTCATTTCTTTCTAAGATGATAGCTACTGTTTCTCCTTGCCTTTCTGTCTGTGCCAAAATAGTCCTACAGGCAGAACAAAGCTTCCCACAAATACAGAAGTGGTCTGTTTGATTCCTCACTGTAGCACATAGTGATATTTATGTTCTTTTGCATATCCTTAACTAAGGAAGAGTATCTCCTGCACTACAGCCAAGTGAACCAGTGTCCACCATTACCTGTGTTTAAGCTTGGTTTCATATAAGTTGAGGTTGGCTGTCTCCTTTCATTATACTTACAGAAAACTTCCTCTTATCTTCCTTCTGTGATGCTTTTTAAGCTATTTTTTTTCTGGACTACCACCATTAATGCATGTTCTGTAATAATTCAGACAAGATTTAAGCATACTTTCAGCTGGAGGGTTCTTATCAAAGAGAAGTTTGCCACATACCTGCCAAAGTTCAATTGCTTCTGTCCACCTGCTTGAAAGATCTGAGCTTGGCTGTTAAGACCTCTTCTCTCTGTATGTGACAAGAATATATTGAATAGGTAATTAGCTATATATAGGTTATGGGTAAAAAGCATGAAATTTCACAAAGATTCTGTCTGTTTTCATCTTTAAAGTGCTACATTTTGGGGTTTGTAGCAACCAGGTAGCATTCGATTTGGAGAGAAAGCTATCTCCCATAATTCAATATACAGCAAAACTTAACTTGAAAGAACATATTAAATGCAGAAGAATCCTGCTTGTACCTTCTTTCACTGACATTTTAACTTTACTAAAAATACAAGAGAGTTTGGCAATTACACGTAGCTCAGCATACATGTAGTTACTATAAATACATTTTATGCTCATTCACATCTGTGCTTTATTTGTTGATCTGAAATCATGTTAGAAGTTGGTCCTGGTGTAAGTATAGAGAAGAAATCTCATCTTTGTTATGTGTAATTACATGGTAAAACCTGTAGCTTTGAAGCTGGAAAAGTTACTAAGCAAACAACATGTGTGACACGCACCTTTATAAGCTACAGTGCTAAGAAAAGGTTCTTCATGCCCACAAAGGAATTAGACATCTTCTGGCATAATGTGTCCCAATCACATAATTCAACATTTTTAGAACTAGATATTCACTAGACACTTACCTGTAGCTGCTACCAAATACCTTAAATAAGTAACTTCTGCCTGCAAAATGCCCCGGAACTATTCTGCAGTTAGGTGGTGGGGTTTTGTTTCTTTGGTTTTTGGGGGGGAGTTGGTTGGGATTTTGGAGGCTTTGGGGTTTTTATTGCTCAGCTTGCTTATTTTCATTTCTTAATGTCAAAACACAAGTTTTCAGCGGGTGGGCAAAACAGTACTTGCTTGGTCAAGGATAATGGTGATGACTAAATGTCTAGCCACAAGTAAAATTCATAAATAGGATGATAAAAGATTCAGTGTACGAAGCTGTATCTATATCCTGGGTAGAGAGGTTTCTTTGGGAAGCTTTGAATCTGTCTTTATTAACTCCTGATTAAAGGAATCACGCCTTTGAGTGGACATATCTCAGTATCTTTTAAGCCTATTTAAATCAGTTCTGAAAGGGAGAAGACATGGCTGAGCTTTCCTTCACAAGATAAATTTAATCTGAAGGACACTTCTAGTCTAGTCATGACCCGGGATGACATGATAAAGCAAATCTGACATTGCACTTGAGCTTCTCTGGTCCATGCCTGAGCTGATGTTCTGTGTGGTTTCCTGAGTACAAACAGAACTTGTTCAAGGATTTTTATCCCCATATGCCTGCATGGGTGGGATTTCTGTTAACAGGTAACTGGTCATAATGTGTGCAGTCAGCCCTCAATGGGTAGTGAAAACAACATCCCATGCAGTGATTTGAAAGGTTCCAGCCGGAATGGCTTCGGGAATGGTTTTTGTCCATCAACACCAGTAAAATCTTCAGCCTGAGGTTTCAAAGTAATCTGTCACTGTCTACCCATGAATTTTTACTGCCAAAAAGATGGTGTTTATAAAGGAGAACTGGCCTTCTGCTGGCCTCTGAGTACATAATCTCATCTATTTAGAGACTACTGACACCTAAATTCCACTCTCAGCTGTAACTTGCACCAAAAGAACTTTCAGTCAGATTGCTGTGTAAAAGTGGCATTGTACAAAGACTGAAGGTTGGGTTTCAATACTTAAAATTCACCAGAGTTAAAGAAATCCAGGGTGGGGGAAATTATGGGATGAAAATATACCATAATGCCAGAGAACCAGTAATATCAATTATGGCATATCTCTTAGCATCAACATCACTACTGTAACAGCTGCCTGTTCTAGCAGAAGTAGCTAGGATTGGAAAATGCAAGGATTTTTGAGGTGTAACAGTTTTTCTGTATGTTTTTAAAGAGGTTGCAAATAAGCTAACATTTAATAGAGGGACTGGCACAGAGGAAAGGAATAAACCATGGCAAAGTGAGCAGAGATTTAGCTGTGATTTTAGCCGCCTCTTGACCTTGCTGATAAAACTATCTTGATCAGAAAGATGGAAAAAGCAATCTTTTTCTTGTCTAGATTTACTCCATGGAGATTTTGGGGTACCTGGCCTGCACTAGAAAAGAGATGGAATCAAATACACATTTAGAAGCAACAAATACAGTTCAGGATTGGGAACAGGTTCACCTAAGTTGATGAAGGCAGCATCATTTCAAGAAATAGATATTACTGAGTGCCTTAAAAAATACTGAGTTCTACATCAAATTGGAAACCATTTTGCTTTGCACCTGCGTTACCACATCTTACTTGTACTTTTATATCTTGTATTTGAAGCACTTTGTTAGTGGATTAATTCGTTCTCAAGAGACTTTCTTATCAGGAACAAGTTCTCCACATAACTTTTAGATGATAAAGGTGAACCAGATAAGGCAATGTACTGTCTGTCACGCTTAGGGCTAGTTAAAGGCAGTAATATTTCAATGGGCAGTGTTGTGGTTAGTGCACAGTCACATCAGAAAGAAGCAATGCTGTGGAACACCCACATATCTGCCCTTGTAGGCTGTGAAGATACCTTCCTTACTTCATATCTCCCAAAAGCCGTTGGAGAGGGATCAGAAAAGTGTGCAGAATCCAAATGTCATTCCCAGGGGTAATATAAAAGCTCATTTTTATCTGAAGTCATCCTGCTTGTGTTTACTCTGCCATCTAGATCTTCTTCAATCTTATCTGGCTTAATGTAAAGGATCAAGACAGACCCTTCTTCCATCTGGGTCCATCTTCCAGCTTGCTCCTTGAGTAGAAAAGAAGTCAAAGGTGGTTGCAAGACCCTAAGATATTGCCAACGTTTTAGGCTCAGTACTTTTTACCTAGTGCAGAAGGTACTATATAAGCAGATAAAAATCACAGAATCATAGAATGGTTTGGGTTAGATGCACCTTCAGAGCTCATCTGGTCCAACCTCCCCGCAATGAGCAAGGACATCTTCAACTAGATCAAATTGTCCAGAACCACACTCAGCTTTGAATGTCTCCAGGGGAAGTCAAGTCAACACCATTGCACTGGTTGAGCACCTCTTGGGCTGCTGGTGTTAGAAATGGGAGAGCATTACTCAAATGAGCCTGATGTTGGGAGAATTATAACCATCCTGATATGGTTTGTGCACTTCAGAAAGTGGGTGCAGGAGAAAACCACCCATTTTTCCCATCAAAAATACTGTTTGCCCATTATTTAAACAATCCAGAAAATGTATTCCTGCGTTTTAATCTCTTATTAGGCATGTGGGAAATGATGATTTTGAAGATGGAGCTGCTTTTGTTATTGTGTGTGTTTCAAGTTAGAGTATTCCTCTACCAGAAACTGTGGTTCTGTGTGCCTAAAAAGGGGAAAAATCCCCATTTCTAGAAGATATTTTTATGAAAAGGCTGCCTCATTATGTATTTAAATCAAAACCTTCTCTCCATTATGATTACACTCAGATTTCAGTATCCACCACGAAGAGAATCTCTGCCTTACTATGTATGCAGATTTATAAGGCTCCAGGCACCTTTGAAATAAATTGAAAGCACAGCCATGTAATAAAGCCAAACCCAGACACTAGCCAAGGAGATCCACCCAGCAACACCCTCGAACACCCTCATCCTCTTCCCCTAAGCACAGCTTTAGAGCTCTAGTCTTGATCTTGTCTCCGCTTTCTCCACCCTCCGAAAGCTTCCTGGGGGATTCCCCAGCAAGCGGAGCAGCCGGAGCTCTTCCTCCTGCACAAACACTTTGCTTTGCTGGGCTTTCTTACCTATGAAACAGCTCAGGAGTGCGGCTGTTTGCAGCCTGCTCAGCCTCTTTCAAGGGGGATATTGTAAAGGAGGAGCAGCTCACAGCAGGAGAAAGCAAAGTTTGGGGGTGAGGAGAGATTTAACAACTGAGGGGAAAGGTGTGTGGCAAAACCACACTGGAATAATGGAAGGGTTGGAGAAAGCAGGTTTGCAGCTGCTGTTTCCCACTTTGAAACACAATTCAAGGCTTTATTTATGATGCTGAAAGGTGCAGAGAACCCCAGGAAAGGGAGTGCTTCCTGAACTCACTGCTAGAGGGTATCAGCGAAGCCAAGAAGTTAAGAACCTTATTAAACAGAAGTCTAGATATTTTATACAGTGAGACCAGAAGTTAAAGAGCAGCAACTTCGAACAGCAAACCTGACTGATATGTTTAGGGCAATCTTTAATTATTAAGGAATGTCAGGATGTTGGAGAGCAACTCTTCAGAGACTGCAGTGATAGAAGAGGTTCAAACTGAAACAGGGGAAGTTCAGGTTAGATATAAGGAAGAAGTTCTTTACTGTGAGGGCGCCGAGGCACTGGTACAGGCTGCCCAAAGAAGCGGTGAATGCTCCATCCCTGGCAGTGTTCAAGGCCAGGTTGGACAGAGCCTTGGGTGACACAGTCTAGTGGAAGATGTCCTTGCCCATGGCAGGGGGGTTGGAACTGAATGATCTTAAGGTCCTTTCCAACCCAAACCATTCTATGATTCCATGATGAGGGTAATTGTAAGAAAGTGGACTGGCAATATCTGTACCCTTCTGAGGTATCACACGCTGCCTGACTTGACAAAGCATACTGAGTTCAATTTTCCATCTTTCTGCACGTGGTGACTGCTGCAACCTGTGATTGAGCATAAATTCCCCCAAGCTTTGATTAATCCATCTGGTGGACATCAGATGTTCGGTACTGCAGTGGAACCATTCACTTCTCTGCAAGCTGCAGAAGGTGGTTTTAGAGAGCACAGACCAGTAAAGTTCCATTGAAAGTTAAAACTATTGGGAAATTTCAGGCAGAAGTTTCAGTAGCTCTGACAAAGTGATGTACAAACAGTCCGATCTGATTGCCAGCTCTCAACTGCATTTAAACGTTGCTATACGGAAAAGAAACCAGGTCTCAATATCAGAACATTTTCATGATAGGAATCACAGTTTGTTATGGTGGGTGTTGAAGGCCAGGTTGGACAGAGCCTTGGGTGCCATGGTTTAGTGTGAGGTGTCCCTGCCCATGGCAGGGG